GCCCCTGGCCCGGCCCCGGTGAGTGCGGGGGGACCGGGGGGCCGGGGGGCGGCACAGGGAGAGACCCTCGGGGGCTAGAGCCGGGAACCGCGGGTCTCCCGTTCCGAGACAAACCTCGAGGGGATTCTGGGCACTGCGGGGGCGGCCCTGAGGGCATTTGGGAACCGGCCCCCCTCAAACACACTGTGTGGGGAGACTGTGGGAACAGCCCTGAGGTAAAGTACGTGTTCCCCCCCCAATTATGGGGGTCACGCAGACCTCGGCAGCCACGAGGGGGTTCTGCCCCTCCCCGGGTGCCTGAGGGTCACCCCCTCAGCTGTCAGGGGGTACAGACCCCCAGGTCACCCCCATAGCAGTCGGCGATTCTTGGGGGTGCCTTCCTCTTCAGGCTATTCCATGACTCGGGTTTTTAGGAGGAAGCTGTCTGTGATTAACTCGGTAATAAATCTGGAGGCCGACTCTGGTTCTGCAGCTTAGATCCCGGCAGGCTCTGACTAGGAATAACCAAAACAAACCAGTTTTTATAATGATTTTTAATTGTTTGTGTCTCGCGGCTGCAGCAGCGCCACTGACATGCCGGGGTTTGTGACTCCAGCCTGCTCCAGAGCTGCCTGGGAGGAATGAGAGCTTTGCTTCCTGCTGGGAAAGCACAAGTTTTATTAGCTGGTGGTTTATTTTTTTCCTTGAATCAGGTGCTGGTCTTATTTCTCTGGTGCTTTACAAGAGCTTTCCTCTAACCCTGAGCTCGCTAACACTGTGGTATGAGCAGGGTGGGTCCATTCCCTGGGCTGTTGGAGAATGGTTGTGCCCGTGGGAAGCCAGTGAGGGCCGGGAATCCTGCTGGAAATCACCGGGGTGTGACTGAACTGGTAATTCCCGGTTAGCCCACTGTTAACAGCTGTGCCATGGCCCTGTGTGCTCTCTTTCTGCAGGCTCCATCCGTTTCCCATCTCTCCAGGATGAGAGAGGCTTGGGTCCGGCTCTCCCCCTCTCCCTGTAGTTGATAGTTTGGGAAGCAGAGGTGATGCTGGAGTCGAGATGGCCGACAGCGTGAGAATCTTCCTTCATGACCTCGTCAGGGTGAGGCTCCGGGTCCTGGGGCTGCTCCTGTGCACTTTGGGAGCACCCTCCTTCCCATGGCATCAGGGAATTTGAAGCAAAAGGGTCTCCAGGTGTATTTCAACACTGTTTTGTGGTGTGTCTATTGCAAAGGGCTCAGTGTTTGCTGCAGAACCTCTGACAGATTTCCTTTGGGCACAAATTAATGAAAAATCTCAATAATAGAAACAGTAATATTAATTATAAAATCACAATACATAACAACATACAAAGTTTATAATATAATATATAATGTATAATATTGTATATAATTTGATAATAATAATAACAATAATAACTTAATGTCTGTTACCACAGCAGCTCTGTCCCAGTAATAAGGTCTGTGTCACCTCACTGCTCCCACCCTCTCTTCCATCATCCAGGGTTAAATACAGGCTAAAAGCCACTTATTCTGTGGCACTGAGCAATAACTCATGCTCAGAAATAACTCTGGAAAACAAAGAAAGGTTTGATCCAAGTCCTGTGGCCACAATCTAAAAGCAGGAGTTGTGTCATTTCCCAGTGCTCCTGCACCATCAGCTGGAAGAGCTGCCTGGGTCAGGGCCCAGCTCCGCTGTTTCAGATATGAATTTGGCATTGGAATTTATCCTCTCTGGTCAAGAGCTACATGAACCCAACTAGGGTGGTGACACCATCCTGGCTTATCCTTATGATCTTTATTTTAAAGGGAAATTGTGATGATGATAGTTATGGGATCACCTGGAGCTGGAAATAATTGAACAGGATCCCAGAGTGGTTTGGGTTGGAAGGGACCCTTAAGTCTTTCTTGTTCCATGTCCCTGCCAAGGGCAGGGGAACCTTCCACTATTCCAGGTTGCTCCAAGCCCCATCCAGCCTGGCCTTGGGTACTTCCAGGAATGGGACAGCCACAACCTCTCTGGACAAGCCAAGTCCTAGGAGGCAGCTCTGAAAATCTTCCAAGCATGGAGCAAGGGAAAACTTCTGGACACTCTCTTATTACCAGGCTTGCATGGATGTGCCTGGTGGGAGGCAGCTTCTGGGATGAGGACAGATGCTTTTATTTGTGAAGGAATAAGCATCAAATTCATAACATACAGTCAGACCTTGCACATCCCAAATATTGGTGTAATTTCACTTTATTGGCCTCAGAAAGCTGGCAGGGAATGAGGGGCTTCCTGCCAGACAAGGCTGGGAGAGATCCGACTGATTTTTTTGCCAGGGTTTTAAATAGTGCAGATTGGAAGAGAAATCACACCTTTACAGAAAAAAATTACTGCTGGCCATGGAGATGCTGGAATGTGCAGTGATTTAGATCACTGGGCCATGGAAGAGAGGCGGTGTTGCTGCTCCAGGCCTTGGCTCCAGCTGAGCCCAAGCAGCCAGGGAGTGAGGCCAGCCATGGCACCAGGGAGGTTTGACCTGGGTCAGCCACAGCTCTTGCTCCTCTCTCCTCATGCCCACAGGGAATTAAGGACTCCATCTGGGGCATCTGCACCATCTCCAAGCTGGATGCCCGGATCCAGCAGAAAAGGGAAGAGCAGAGGCGGAGGAGAGCCAACAGTGCGCTCGCCCAGCGGAGGTTTCACATGGAAGAGAAGAAGCAAGAGAAGTGAGTATGCGGCGTGGCTGGTCAGAAATGGGGTAATTCCCTTCTCCTCTGGTAGTCAGAGCCAATTAATGGGAAACACATGGCATGAAACTCCCTTTTTCCACTGCGTAATGGAGCTGTTATCATGAGATAAGAAGTTGGACATTTTACATCATTTGATAATCAGTTTGAATTGCCACCGAAAGAATGGGGATTTATGGGTTTCCTTTCCTCCTGAATCCTCGTGCTATCTCAGATCCATTGTTATTGCTGGTAATCATGGGATGAGGGAAGAAACAGCAGCTTGGATCCAATGTCCACTTCGGGGCAGATTGAGTGTCTCTTTTCCTCAGCCCTGCTGTGTTTTGTGGAGTTTGGAACTGCAGAACCTCAGTGGTTCTGGAAATGCCAGAATTATCCCCATGCAGGAGCAAACAGCATCTGTTCCCATGTCTGACTCCCAGACCATGCCAGGATGTCTCTGCTGCCCTGGTGGCACTGGGCTGGCATGCCACACAGTGGTTTTGGGCAGTAATGCACATTCTGAGGCATATTGGCTGAAAGGTGAAAGAAAAGTCTCCCATGATCCTGATATTCCTCAGGGGTCTCTGCAGCTCCACATCTTGGCTGCCTCTGAAGGAAAGTATAACTTTTTCATTTTGTTTATGTTAATAAACAGCAGAATTCTGATGGTTTCCTTTATAGCAAAATCACTCTGGTGTCAAGAGCTGACTGGGAAAGTACTGCAGAGTCCCATGGAGCTGCTCTTGCATGTCCAGAGGCACCAAAACTACCCCGAGCTGAAACAGCCTCTTCCAAGACCAAAAAATGTCCCAAATTTCCTGATTTTATTGTGGCAAGAGTTTGGAGAGAACAAAGCCCAAGATCTCCAATATGTGCTTAAAAAATCTGGAAGACTGCTTTGCTTTTCTTCTGTTTCAGTGCAGATTTTGGGAATTAATAAAGGTTGAAAGAGTCTCCCTGATTAAGCCTTGTAGAGACTGCACCGGCTGAGACATGGTGTGAATCTCTGCAGGGATTCCTTCCAGGATTTCTATGTTTGGATAAAATCAGGTGCACAGTTGGTGTTGAGCTGGTTCTCAGTGACTTTTCCAAGGTGTCCAAAATGTGGGGCAGCAGCATTTGGCACTCATGAGGGGACATTTGTCCAGGTGCTGGGACATTAACACACCTCTCTCCTGCAGTGAACCCCGGATAGTGAGCCGGATATTTCAGTGTTGTGCCTGGAATGGAGGTGTCTTCTGGGTATGTAGAGATTTTTCTTGTTTATTATGGTTTTTATTTTAAAAACCCTGTGAAAACCCATGTCCTGCTCCAGCCCTCATAGGCTGTGAGTGGTGAGCTATCAGCATGGCAGCAGGAATTGCTGGGAATTTTCCACTTTCCCACCCCAGTGCTGTATTTTAAGGGATTCACTATGGAATACAGGACCACAGACTTACTCGAGAGACCCACACATGAAATCCAAGCTGCTTTTCCAAGTCTTTGAGACTGCTCTCCACCTGAATATTTAATTCCTGCTTTGCTGCAGCCTGGCTTGCCAGGCTGTTTTGCCAGTTGGATATTGAATTCTTAAAAGACATTTCCTCAGCTCTGACTTGCTATGCCTGGTTCATAAGGCTGATTCTTAATGGAGCCAACACTTCATAAATCAAACAACCAGATAAATAGTTTCATTTTAGATAAATAGTTTCATTTTCTCATTACAGTGGTGCAGTTTACAAGGGATTGGCTCAGTGTTAGCTGCAAGTTGTGGCTGTATTTAAACAGAAATCCTCGTTCCTCTGTATTTCTGGATTACTCAGGGAGAAGAGGCAGATGTGCCTTTGGATCTGTAGCCACAGGAGTAGAAAATACCCCTGCAATGCCTCACTGAGAGCCCTTGTTTGTTTTTCCCTGCAGCTTAGTCTCTTCTTGTTCTACCGAGTGTTCATCCCCGTCCTTCAGTCGGTCACGGCGCAGATCATCGGTGGGTGCCTTTCCCCTTGGGGTGTTCCAGGGTGCTCAGCAGTCCATGGGATGAGTTTGGAGTCTTTGTCCACTGAACTGATCCTCACACCTCTGTCCCCTTGTGTTGTTTTCCACTTCTTCCCAGTACCAACCAATCCCATCATTAATCATCCAGTAGGAAACCAGGGGTGGATCACCCTGCTGACAGCCTGTGCACATCAGGGATCCAGCCCAGGGGTCTTGCCATTTCAAACACATTTGTCTGTGTGTTTTTGCATTTAAGTAAAAATCAAGTGGATGGAAATGTGCTTTTAAAGACATTTAAAGAACTAGAGTCAGGAGAAACTCCCTGATGACTGTGCCAGGAAGCATTTGCAGGTTCCTATAGCAGTTCCTCAGGTATGTCTCTCTTCCAAAGGTGACCCTTCCTTACATGGTGACGTCTGGTCCTGGCTGGAGTTCATCCTCACCTCCATTTTCAGCGCTCTCTGGGTCCTGCCCCTCTTTGTGCTCAGTAAGGTGGTCAATGCCATCTGGTTTCAGGTAGGTGACAAAAACCTGGGCCCTGCCTTGAGCAAACGGGGGGAATTTCCTCATTGGGTGGGGCTTGATCAGTTGATATGGGGGCACAAGATGAAATCCCACCCCAAAACAGGCTCTGGGCATATTCCTGGTGGGCAAAAGCAGCTCAGGAGCATCATCCTGGGTTTAATTTCCCCAAAGCCCCCATGGCTCTGGAGTTCCATTTGCCTCACACCCATCTCTGCTGGCAGGACATCGCGGATCTGGCGTTTGAAGTGTCGGGCAGGAAGCCTCACCCCTTCCCCAGTGTCAGCAAAATCATCGCTGACATGTTGTTCAACCTCCTCTTGCAGGCGCTTTTCCTCATCCAGGTGAGACAAGCAACCACCACACCAGCTCAAGTGCTGCCCTCCCCCAAATCCTGAGCGTCCCTCTCTCAATCCTCTCCTTTTCTATCCCAGGGAATGATCGTGAGCCTGTTCCCCATCGACCTCATTGGGCAGCTGATCAGCCTCCTCCACATGTCGCTGCTCTACTCGCTCTACTGCTTCGAGTACCGCTGGTTTAACAAAGGTGAAGGAGGCTCCCTGCATGGGAAGGGGGAATTTACCTGGATTGAGCTGAAGGAGCATCCAATTGGGGTGTCAGAGGCTGATCTTCCATCAGGTTGTGTATGGAATGAAGGGTAAATGTGAGCCAGCAGTGGTGGTAAGATGGCCAGTGGTACCTGGCCTGCAGCAGCCCCAGTGTGGCCACAGCTCCAGGACATTGCCTGCCCCCTGTGCTGGCCACTGGCGGAGGCCTTGAGTGCTCTGTCCAGTTCTGAGCCCCTCATGAGGCCTCAAGGACATGGAGGGGCTGGAGCATGTCCAGAGATGGATCCAGAGCTGGGAAGGGGCTGGTGCCCCAGGAGCAGCTGGGGGAGCTGGGAAGGGGCTCAGCCTGGAGCAAAGGAGGTTCAGGGGGGGACCTTCTGGCTCTGCACAACTCCCTGACAGGAAGGGACAGCCAGGTAGGGGTTGGGCTCTGCTCCCACATAAAAAGTGACAGGATGAGAGAACACGGCCTCAAGCTGTGCCAGGGAGGTTCAAGTTGGACATCAGGATGAATTTCTTTGCTGAAAGGGTGGTCAGGCATTGGAAGGGGCTGCCCAGGGAGGTGGTGTAGTCCCCATCCCTGGAGTTTTTCAGGAAATGACTGGATGTGGCACTCAGTGCTCTGGTCTGCTGACAAGGTGGGGATTGGTCAAAGGAGGTGAATGTAGGTCTTTTCATGCCTGAATGGTTCTGTGATTCTGCAGTGAGGGTGTCTCCTCCCCATGGGCTCATTTCCACGGCATTTTCCTCTTGGCAGGAATCGAAATGCACCAACGGTTGTCCAACATCGAGAGGAACTGGCCCTACTACTTTGGCTTTGGCTTACCACTGGCATTTCTCACGGCCATGCAATCCTCCTACATCATCAGGTGGGAAAGCCACTCTGGCCTCCCCTCCTCCTGACACCCACCAGACACATCAAGTGCCCCTTATTTTATTCCATTGTATTTTTCCCTTGCAGCGGTTGCCTCTTTTCCATCCTTTTCCCCCTCTTCATCATCAGCGCCAATGAAGCCAGGACCCCCGGCAAAACCTAGTGAGTATCCATTCACACCCACTGATTCTTGTCCAACACCCCCAGCCTTCCCCAGCGCTCCCCAAAGCCCTGCGGGGGCGCTCCTGACATCGGGAGCTGATGGACTCTCTTCCCTTTCAGCCACTTCCAGCTCCGCCTCTTCTCCTTGGTGGTTTTCCTCAGCAACAGACTCTTTCACAAGACCGTTTACCTTCAGTCCGCTCTGAGCGGTGCTTCCTCCTCCCCCTCCTCCTCCTCTTCCTCCTCCTCCTCTTCGCCCTCTCCTGCCAAACACGCGGCTGCTCCGGGGCACTGAGCTGCCCCCAGACCCCGGGGAGGGGGGACACCCACGGGCTTCTCTGCGCCCCCGATGTCCAGGGACGGCCAGGACCCAGCCTGACGAGGTGTCACTGTCAGTTCTGCGTCTACCCCTGGAAGTTTTTTGGGGGGAAATCTGGGTTTTTAACACCTTTGTGAGTTTCCAGGAGCCGGGTTGTGCCCTGCGCTTGTTTTATAGTGGACTCTTTTGTACGCCTTTCCCGTGCCATCTCCCTGCCTCGGGCCAGTGGGTCGGAACTCCGTCACCCCGTTTTGCCGTTGTGTCCCTCCCGT